GATATTCAAGTGAATGAATGTATGCAGAAGCGGAACGAAGTTACACAGAAAGAAAATGTGGGACTGTATGTTGCTAATGAGCATGGAGAAAATCCAGGGAAATGCATAAAAAATAAATACCGTTACGCTAGAGTTCACTGTACCTCCAGCAAATATCTCAGTATCAGAAGGATACACGCCAGCGAATGGCCAGAAGAGTAGCAAGACGTCATGTGGTGCTAGAGACAGAAAGTGAACAAAAATGCATTTGAGCACACGTAATGTGCGCGAGTGTGTGGGTCCGAGTGAATGGTGTACCGTGTACAAGACGCCAACCAACCAGTCAGGAGAGAACTAAAAATGGTCCATCAAAAGCACCTTTCATGCCGAGCCATGAAAGACAACTAAACCTACTAGTTAGCCAGGATGTGGGCAATCGAGTGGAAAAATGGAGAACTCGGTCCGTTTGCAAGGGAAATATGCAAGCAATGATATGCCGAAAGAATGAGGCTTCCAAGTGAGAATAAACGGGAAGTGAAAAAGTACTTTGTGCGAGTTTTAAGTGAAACAGTGGCCCAAGTGGTCATTAATGAACAGTTTTATGTCCCCTTGAAAAGCGACAAGGACAGAGCTATGGGAAAAGCGGACATTGACAGGGATACGGAGGACGGCATGCAGGACATATACTGTCAGGTCCCAGCTGATAGGCTGTTATAGGTTGGGAAAAACGGATCACTGATAAGCCGACAGCATGGGTCAGTGGCAAGTCTAAGGACTGTAAGTGCTGCTGCCGACCGGAGTAAAGCGATGCGACAGTGGGAAACCTGCACACACGCATAAGAATAGCGAGGAAGCACAACTGTAGGATCGTAATTGATAACGTCAATGGGTAGCAGTATGGTCGTAAAGTGAAAATGTGAAAAAAGTGACCGTTAGGCTCATAAATATGGCCGTCGTCGCTCAGACGCTTAGACAATCGAACAGAAATGTGATCAATGTGGAGGAAAAGAGACAATGGAGAAGTATGCTGTAGAAATCCTGTAATAAGCCATGACGATAATGATAAAGTTGCGGTACGTAGTGTGCTCTACTACATGTCAAGCCAACCCTACACACAGAAAGTAGACTGAGATCAAGCCAAAAGTTCTTCATATCAAAGGACTAATATATATGTATACAATTATAAGATGTGGTCGAATATCTCAGTCGTGAGATGGATCTGGTACAACCGTGAAATCGGCATCACAAATCATTTCCTGGCCAGAAAATGGGAAATGTACACCAAGAGCTGGTGTACATTGAAATTCATTTGCACCTCAACAGTGTGCAAGTTTATATGGGAACGCTATGTCTGTCAAGCCACACATCCGCTGTTCAAACTCCTCCGATAACGCTGTGATATGAGTCAGGCGAAAAGGAAACCCCAGCCTAGACTGAAAAAGGTGCCATTCCGAGATGTACTTCAGAGTGACATTCAATAGGGAAATAAGATACTCGTTTCGGACCTTCAGTAGGAGCAAAGCCATGAATGCCATCAAAACTCGTCAAAAAAGATGCGGCCTACTGGCAACTACATTTTGCGAGTTGCCATACATTGTTTAATGTTTGGTGTATTTCGATTAAAGAATGCTTTATTATTCTGAAGATATCTGCCAAGGCGAAATAGATGATAAACATTTTGGGTGAGGCCAATATACGGATGCCGCCAATGCAGCCCGTCGAAACCCAGATTTTCGTCATTTTCAATACGTAGATACATTACGATGGCAAAGACAATAATGTATTTGTGTGCGGGCGAAATTCAGAAACATAATTGTGTAATTAAATAGTATCGGTGTCTTGTGTGGCGCTAGATAACAAGCCGAAAATAAAGCTGGGAGAAGTACTTCTAGAAAGCGATGTATCATCAGTGAACAATATCATCTGTCAAAATGCAAACAAATAAACCATTATAGACTTCGAAGTATGGCGCATTTCGTTGATAAGACAACCCTTCC